TGTCTTATTTTTATGTGGCTGGGGAGTGAGGCGGCCGGGTGCCAGCTCGAGGCGGACCCGCGCTCCGTCACACCCGGGGTGCCCGGTTATCCCGGAGACCAGGCACCCTTCTGAAATTTGGGTGGAACTGGCCGCTGAAAATTGCCTTTTCCCGGTGGTTTTCGGTGAGCGGGATGGGCCGGCCCCGCTCCGCCGCCGTCGAGGGCTCTGCGCTGGGGCGGGCGAGCAGCCAGAGTAAAGGCTTGGTCGGCTGGGGCGAAACGAAATGGTTTCTTTTTATCTATCTTTATTTTATTTTTGTGGGCTTCTTTTTATTAAGACAAATGCATCGTAGCAGCTGTTCCTAAACGCGATGCCGTTTCGAAACAAAAAGCTAAAATATTTAATTTTGGAAACAACGGGAGACGTCCTGAGCCCGCCCCATCCCCTACGTTTTCCCCCAGGCACCAGAAAAGCCCCCTCGATTTGGCACGTGGGGACAAAGAAGCGTTATTTAAGGAAGAAAAAAGCGTTTATCCTGGGAAACAGCCCATCTTCCTCGCGAGGGGCTCAGCAGATGGAACCGGCTCTTGGCTCCAGCGGGGAAAAATGAAAAACAACCACCAAAAAAGAGAAGCGACCACCAAACCCACCATTTAAACGGTTATGATTAAAACATCCCGGTTAAAAGGGGATGAAACGCCCGGCACGGGACGAATCCAGCGCAACTTCTCACGCCCGCTCTGCCCGGAGCATCCTGCCCTGGCGCCGGCCCGGGAGCACCGAGCATCCCCGCCCAAAAGCGGCCGGTGGTCCCCCTCACCGCCGCCCGCACCCCCCCACCGCCGCGGGTGCTCGTGGTGTCCTACGCTGCTCGGGGCCAGGTTTTGCAGGGGAGGAAGAGTAAGAATTAAGAACAAGAATTAAGAATACGAAGGCGAGGAGGTGCCTTTGCTTTGCCTCTCCCACCGTTTCGGCTCCAGGGGATTTTCCTCTCGCCAGGGGACGGGGACGGGTAGCGCAGAGGCTGCCAGCCGCCACCGTGGGTTTCCCCACCCGATGCCGCTCGCAGGGAAACCGCAGCCAGGAAACCGCTAATGTGAGCAGCGAAAGCCGTGCGGTTGCCCGCAGCAGCGCTCGCGCGCGCGACGTGGGACCGGGGAAGGGACCGGAGACCCCCGGGCTGGCCGAGCCGGCTCTGATGGAGGAAACGCCTCCCCTGGGGCGGTTTTATTAGGGACAGGGACGAGGCTGGACCAGGGTCCCCTCCGTCCTCAGCAGCTTCGTGCTGGGGTTCGGGACGCTTCTGCTCCCCGCGCCTCGTCCCCTGAACCTTTCCCCAAGAGCATCTTCTCCCTCCGACTCCTTCAGCGCGGGGGAAGGTTACTGGCAGGTTTTAAGGACCTGAGGGAGAAATCTCCTCCCTTCGGGGACCCAGACGTCACCCGCTCAGCTCCTTGGCTGGCGAAACCCAATTCATTTCCCCAGCTGTATGCGGAGCACCCTCAGGAAAGAAAGGGAAGAGCTCACACGCTCACAGGTAAACACCATCCTCTTGTTTGTTATTCTTTTCCCTTTCGGCGAGGAGCAATGTTTCAGGCTCCACTTTACGTTACAACGGAGCAAAGAGCCCTTCCTCTTCCCCCTGCCTGCCCTCCCATTGTGAAACAGCTTTAATATCTTCCAGTTATTATTTTAAGCCGATTTCCTAAGGAAACGTGGCTCGTACGATGACATGCCTGTGCATGTGTCTGTCTGTCCGTCAGGCATCCCCCCTGCCCGCGGCACAGTACTCGGGCTCTGCTCGGCAGAGAGGCTGCAGCCTTGCAGGTAAAGCTTGCAAAGATTTCGTGAAAATCGAGTGCAGGGAGAAGAATTCCACAGGGGCGTTGCACCCCTGTCCCGCTGTTCTGCGTCTAAGTGGCTTTTGGGAGGCGCAGGAGATAAAAATGCGGAGGGTCGCACATCTCCCCGAACACCCCCCCGCCCCCAAGAGCGTTCATCCGGGCAAGGCAGGGAGGTTTCAAGGAATCTGGGTGGTATTTGCTCTGAATACACTTAACCGCTCGCCCCCGGGGACAAATGTCGGCGCTATCTGGCCATCTGGTTGCCTTTGCCGTAATTAAATGAACGAAAACGATGACGGCGCAGGCCCGGTTGCAGGGACGTTGCCAGAACAAATCAATGGCTGCAGTGAAATCGGATTGCTCGTATCAAATGTCCAAATGCCGTTAGGCAGGGATAGGCTGAATCGTCTTAAATTCGTATCTGTAGCACAGGAGGTACAATTAGAAGAGCTAATATTACAGGGTGGTATCGACTTCCAGTTCGGGATTATATATAACTCGGCAAGACGACTACCGTGTCTGTCTGTCGGCTTACAGCAGGGTATTAGAGTCTTAGAGAATTGAAAAACTTCCATATAAATCTCTTTTTCTTCCTCTTTTCGTGGTGCCTGGAAGGCTCGGCCTCTGGAGCGGCGCTGGGTGAAGCTCCCCCCGCTCGGCGGCTGGATCACCGTGTGCCGCGGGGCTGTACGGGAGCCTGCACCATCCCAGTTCAAGAGAGGCTCGGCTGCTTTTAACTGGGATCAGGGAGGCGAAGAGGCTCCACGCCGAGCAGTCCTGCCCTCCGTCACTAACCCCAGCACGCGCCCGGCT